ATCTTTGCGGACATAATTAAATTTCCACCTTGTTTCGTAGTGGTTTTCGAAACGATCATTCAGCTTTTAAAATGGATTGATCTTGTCAGTTCATGGCATTAATTTTTTATTTACTTTTCTCAGCTTGTGAATAAAGCCCAAAGAAAAATAATTCATTCTTTCCGTTTACTCGTTTTCCTTATTACACCGAGCATTTCAAACTCATCTTGATTATTTTTACCTTTGTTCGATGCGAAGTCAGTTTCTGAGCGGTGCATGAAAACTTTACAGATTTATCACTATGGCAAATATTGATGGAGTGATGGAACGTGAAGTTTTGAAGATGGAACGCATAGGTGCACACTCCCATATCAGAGGTTTAGGGTTAGGGCCCGGTCTTGAAGCGGCACGAGTGGCAGACGGTATGGTGGGACAGATGGAAGCGCGTAAGGCCGCTGGCTTTTTTGTTGAGATGATAAAAGTAAGTTTATTTTTTAAAAAAATAGCTTAGTTATGATTGTTAATTTGGCTACCTAATGGTGTTCGGTTTTTTAATTTCTAGCTTTCTTCTTGTAGAGTGTCGTTAAATATTATCCAGTGAAAAAGGTGTTTTAGGTCAGAAATCAGGACTGTTAATGGTGTTTGTCTCATTTGTATTACAAACTTTTGAATATTGAACTCTTTAAATTGCATATTATCCAGTGAGATAGGTGTTTTAGGTCAGAAATCAGGACTGTTAATGGTGTTCCTCTCATTTTTGTTACAAACGTTTTGAATGTTGAATTTTTTAAATTGCATAGTTGGTTACTCGTGATTGACAAGAAGTTTAAGTCTACTAAAGAAAAAGTTTTATTTGGGGGGGAGGGGAGTGAAATACTTTAACGGCTTCTTTTGATGTTGATTTCAAATTCTCCATGCTTTAGAAGGGAATGATTTCCGGAAGAGCGGTGCTGTTAGCCGGTGAACCCGGAACGGGCAAAACTGCACTTGCAATGGGTATTTCTCGTGCGCTTGGCGCTGACACACCTTTTGTTTCCATATCAGCGTCAGAAGTTTTTTCAGTAGATATGAGTAAAACAGAAGCTCTTGAACAGTTCTTCCGAAGAGCCATAGCAGTGCGTTTGAAGGAGGAGACCGAGGTCCAGTAGCGTTACTTATTTATTTATTTTCCTCACTTCGATCACTTGAATTGTTACGCATTACACGGTATTGAATTTGTTAAGTGTAGCTTATTTGGAAACATCTATATTTTTTACCTTCTAGGTTCTAGAGGGAGAGGTTGTTGCTATTGAATATGAAAGGCCGGCTGCAGGAGGCCCTAAAGTTGGTCGTATAACGATGAAAACCACTGATATGGAGACAGTCTATGACATCGGAAATAAAATGGTGGAATCGTGTATAAAAGAAAAAATCAGTAGTGGTGATGTAATCCAAATAGACAAAGCGTCAGGTTTGATTCTTGGATCAAATTATGGACTTCAACTCCTAACTTTTGTTACTTATGTTCCCGTGTAGGCGTCATTCGCAAGCTAGGACGAGCATTCTCGAGAACTCATGATTACGATGCCATGGGGCCACAGGCAAAATTTGTAGCTTGTCCTGACGGCGAAATACAGAAACGGAAAGAAACTGTGCATACGGTTTGATTATAACTATGTTACTCCACACGTTCAGGACCTGAATTTTGGTTGCGTTATTTAATTTACAGGTTACTTTACACGAAATAGACGTAATTAACAACCGAGCGACAGGGTTTACAGCTCTTTTTTCTGGTGACACAGGCGAGATAAGAAAGGAAGTTAGAAACCAGATCAATATTAAGGTTTGTTTAAATTCGATGCGTTGTGACGAAGCGTTGATTTTGAATGAGACAATTTTTTTTTGTTGGGATGCGTTCACTGATGTGTTAACCTACCTCTTTATTTAGGTTAATGAATGGCGGGAAGAAAATAAAGCTGATATAGTTCCCGGAGTCCTTTTTATTGATGAGGCTCATATGCTTGATTTAGAATGTTTTTCTTTTCTTAACAGGATGATTGAAGCTAGTTTGGCACCACTCTTAATTATGGCCACTAATAAAGGCTATGATTTTATACGTGACACGGAATTAAAGAGCCCTCACTGTATACCCCTTGATCTTCTAGACAGGTAATGTTTGGCTACAGAAATCCATTTTTTCAAAGTATCTGTTTTTAAAACTTGTTTCTTATGGGAAAACAGATTTTTACATTTTGATGGAGGTGTGCGCTTATGAGTTGAACCGTAGTTATTATTTGCTATTGATTGTTCAGAAAAAGTGCGTGCCGTCATAATATCTTTATTTAGGTGTTTGATTATTCGTACTAAACCTTATTCAAGCAGAGATCTAGAAGACATCCTGAGAATTCGTGCCTGTGAGGAATCGGTCAAATTAGACCCTGATGCTGTAACTATTTTGGTTAAACTTGCAGAACAGACTACCCTTCGGTATGCTATGCAGTTGATTTCTGCAGCAAACGTCATTAGAGAGAGGCGGCGTGGCTTAGACGTGAGAAATTTCCTAAATTAAGTAGTTTTTTTTAACTGTAATTTTTTAGGGGACATTTTGACCCTTGCTATTTTTATTTATTTATATATTAGTGCTGTATGAAGTACAGAATTGCAGTGTAACAAATACTGTTTCTATATTTCATGTTTTTTCACTTCTACCGTCAACTGATTAACAATGAGTCAAAAATTCATCTGACTTACAGAAGAGTTTTTTAGGTGAACACCCCTGATTTGAAGCGTGCGTACAAATTGTTCATTGATAAAAGAAGAAGTGCCAAATTTTTGGACGAATATGAGAAGTGGTTTGTTAACGAATAAATCTTTTGATTAATATATCATTTTCTGTAAGTATGTTGCTAAGGTAAGGAATTCCCTTTTTGTTATTCTCAAAGTGTATATTTTAATATTCAATTTTTATACTGTTTTTCAAAAAATCCTGGTTATATACATTGTTTTCAATTTGTTGGTCCTCGAAAACATTTAAAAATGCTTAGATAATTTGAAATACTCGAGCAAAATAAGGTGATGCAGTTCAGGAAAGGCTACGGAGCCAAAAGTGGCCTTACTAAAAATGGTTAACATTCATGGCGGAGTGAGTGCTTGTTTAAGTGTTGTAGCTGTGCAGTGGTCTTTTCATGCATCATTTTTATCCACTTTGCTCCCCTTGTTATTTCCACTGCGAACCTCTTGTTACTGTTCAGTTTTAAGTCAGTTCGTTCCACTCCGTTAAGAGTGCTTTCTGTGAAAAAAATTGAGTTGGTGTGGTGGTTGTCATTTAAAGTAACCTCGGTTTAGAAATATTCGGTCCCTTAGTGATTCTGTACTTGTTTTCGTCTTAGAGATAAGTTTGATCAGGTTAAAATACGACAACGATTTAACGCCCATCAACCTTCGGTAAAGGGGTTTCTGAACTAGGTGACTCGTGTGTGCAGTGCATGGTTGGGAAAGAAATCAGGGTTTTTTGACGATGACTCAGTCAGAAGTCAAGCTTTAGTTACAGTATGTGATTATTTTGAGCGTGCGCTAGTGCTACAAGTTGTAACTTCGGGGACTTATAAGACCGCCATGTACAAAAGTTGAGGTTTCTGCAAAATACCTAAATTGTCAGTACTTTAAGGCATTAACTGCTTTGACTGGTTTAATTGTACTCGTTTTCATTTCCCAGTTAATTCCGAGACAAGCGTGGGTTGGGCAAATTCTAACAACTCATAATGTGCGTATCATTCTTTTAACAGAGTTAACTACTGTTTTTCACCAGAAAGAACTCTCTTCCTTTTTTTTTTTTTTTTTTTTGATACTTATTTTATGCCTTTAACCGCAACTGGGGCAGTTTTTTATAAGGTTATGAGGCGACTCGTGACCAGTCCAGATTTTGTGCGATGCCTATACCGATCCTAAAAGCTTTTTCGTATATTCCTGGTACTCACTAGCGGATGCAGCAGTGCTGATGTGGTAGCTGAATACTCTCTTATGGTACTATCCCAGTAGGATGTGGACGGCATCTCTTGGGGAGAACAGTACTGTTAGCACGACATAGCTTTTTTGTTTTCTTTAAGACAATTTGATTTCTGGCAGTTTTTGTGTTTCCAAGTTTCGGGGAAACCATTGTCCCCTCCAGCTTAATTTTTTTAAAAAAGTAATACGCAGTTTAGCAGCAGGACATTGAAGTTCACTCAGCAAAGCCGCTTCTGGTTCTAGCAAATTGTGGAATTTGAAAATGAAAACAAGTGTATATCCACACACTATTGAAAACCTCTCGTTAGTTCTATCACAATAAATAAGGAACTTTTTCTTGTTTCATCTACCGCAGATAATGTTGAAGTCTAACCAGTCCGACTAAAAATTACCGCTGGCGTCACGTCATTTAAACATTTTTATGCGTGAACTTTGGAAAACGACAACAGATTTGTCTGTAAGGATCCTTGATGTCACTTAAATATTCCAAATTCTTTGGGATTTTACTAGGTGGTTTTTACTTGTGTTAAGCTTCCCCTGATTGCTGAGAGCAGACTAAAGGAAGTGTATTTGGACGTAAAAAACATGGTGTCTCGATACACTTGGATTTTACTCGTTTACGGAGACCCACGATCCCGGTAAAAAAAATTCGACAGGCGACCACCTACCTACCAATTAACTTCAATAAAACTCAACCAGACAACTTGATGAGACACTTTGTATACACACTGGACAGAACTGACATATCAACGCCATGGCTGGCAATAGACTTCGTTATCCTCACTAGACAGTGTTAAGCGTGGATCACTATTTGTACAACAAAACCCCACAGGTTTGTTAAACACAGAGTCGTCTACTGTTTACCTAGACTACAAGTGTAACTCCACCAAGCCTAACCCAGTGTAGCTTACAAGCAAATATCTCGCCTGAAAATCAAACTGGTTATTCTTCTAAATTACCATCACAACAGGTTCAGTGTATATATAAAGCTGATTATACGTCTTTTTTCGTAAAATTGAAAAATGCAACAAGCTTTCAAAATACACTCAGGAAAACAGCGCAACACAAATTATAAACAAGGAGATCTAGAAAGAACAACAAATAGGGCACCGTGTCTATGAATAGGGAGAAAATCCCAATCTCTAAATTAAACTTCCTGTTTTATATAACAAAGACATACCAAAGATATATAAAATTGAAATAAGTTTCACGTGATGAAATGTAATTTTACGGGAGCCTAATCTGTTGTATTACTGGTGCTAAATATAACTGGTTTGCATCGAATTCGACAATGCCACAGAAATTCGTTTAAATTTGACTTGCAAACGACAAAAGCACCGTTAAAAAGAACCCGCAAATGTATAATAAGCTAGCCCTGACACTGCCTGATCGAGCTAATCATCCAGCACTGGTCAACTCATTCAGAAAAACTGCGAACTGAATTACATCTAGTGATACCACGAACCTCAAGTAATTTAACAAATATTGCTAGACGAAACTTCCTAAAAACATGAAACACACTCAAAGTCCCGTGCAGAAACTGACCAGCTTTTGAAAAACAGCTGAGTAAGGCACTCAGAACGAGCTGAAGAGATCGTATTTACAACAACTATAGAAGTCACACTTGCACTACGGGGGGTCGGTCAAAAGTGGAAGTTGCTTATAAATTTTTAACAGTGCTTCGACCAGCTTCACCGTGCGGAACCGTTCAGCTTCGCGCAAAGCATACCGCACACAACTTTTCTGATCAAACAGCGATAAGTCTTCAACCTTGGATGTGATAGAGATTAACGTCTTCTCTGCTAAAAGTAGCTATAGTTGATAAAAACAAGACTTTTTGATGAGACCGCATTGGAAGGTAACTTTAAGGTAAACTCAGAAGGACTCATCAATAACTGAAAAGCTTGGTAAATAAACCAAAAACCATATATATATATATATGTATATATATATATATAAATTTCAAGAAGCTAACCAGAGAGCTGTTTTCTTACGAGAGACCCTAATAACAATTTCCGCGACCGTAAAGCACCTTCGTCCAGTGGCCTTCTGCCATTTGAAACTTTAAACCTCTTTGAAGGCGGTGCAGAGTTTGACGAACGATTACCCGTAAATTCTTCGGAAGACTCCACGAAAGAAAACCCATTTGTCAAAGCACCAGAGAAATTTGAAGAAGTGGAAGCAGATGGCTGACCGAACTCTCCTAAAGAGTATTTAAATAATCTTTAATTAAATGCCTCTAAAAACCACTGAAAATAACAAACCTGATGACTTAGTACGAGCTTTGATGCACACCTCAAGTATATGACCCTCTACTCATCTCATATTTTAATTTGCATCTATTTTTTGCTAGTGCTCTAGTAAGTATATCCAACTGTAAAGTTATTACCGTCAGTGACAACGTCATCCTCCAAAGAAGAGAGGGAGCCGAGATCTGATGCAGAAGAAACAAAAGAAGAATTCGAAGAAGTGGACCATTCTCTTCTCCGCTTTCTAAATAAAATTCCGCCTCAACTATCACTGGCATGATTCTAGTGACTGTGTAAAGAAAATATCAGGCTGTGCAAAAGCGAAAACTTACCTCCATTGCATCAAAGAGTCAGACGCAAGCGGGCCAGGCTTCCTTCGAGGAGGTCGATTAGACTCCAAACTTGCAGTCGACAGCGTCCTTTTCCGGAGCCCATCTGATTTCAAAGCATTACCAGCCAAGATATTACCGTCACCTACCTCGTCCACAGCGATACTTTTCTAAAAAACATATTTTAATGAATAAAGAGTTCTACCCATACAAGAATTCCACAGAAATAAACACCTTATCAATCTTGAAGGGATTCCCAAAAGCATGCACTCTGATAGCCTGAGGTTCCACCTCACGTAAAGGGCCTCTGCCGATGGCTTCAAGTCCTTTTACATAATCCTGATAATTCCCCATTTGGCCCACAGGCAAACTGTGTAAGTCTTCTAAAAATAACACTACACTGCGAAAAAAAAACAGTAAAGTGATGTCAGCAACGACAAAAATAAGTGGAGCAGTCAAGCACCAAAATGATTTGGAAAATAAATAAAAAGTGAAAGATAACCGCCTAAAATTATTACCCTTAACGTTCACTACCAAGTCCTTTGAGTTGTAAACATTTAAAGAGAAACAGTAAAACGAGTACTACTAGCAAAACGTTTACAGAATCTCTCATACTCAAACCAAAGTAAATTATGAAAAGACAAACCAGCATTCTGTAAGTTGATCACTGTGCCAGGAAGACCACCTTCTAATACAGGTACCCGCTTCTCATCCAAATTGAGCAACAAATTTGTACTCATTTTTCCAAGCTGGACAACTAACTGTTCTCTTTTTATTTCAAAAGGATTACGGAACTGTAAAGATGGCGCTGCTCTCACCTTTCTTCTCCCAATTTGAATCTATAATGAAGTAAGATATGTCACTAATCACACAAATAATTTATGCATATGCGGAAAAATTGAGTGAAAATTCAGTTCTAAATCAGCAGCTTTTGAATTAGCCAATTCGTAGCGAACAAGATAATACGGAGCAGCAACAAAATTACAGTACCTGATAACCTTTGAAATACTCTGCAGATACCATCTTCCTATACTTTCTTTTTGATGACAAATGATACAATGTCTCTCTTGGCTTTAAAGTAACCTGAAAAACTATATATATTTCATGAAACAGTTGTATACAGTACATTAAGTAAGCAGTCAATGAACTAAACTAATTACACAACCCATTTGATTTTCCCAGTAAAACGGAAAATTTTTTTCACGTCCTAAGAACTGCCAACAAGGTAAATAGCAAGAACATTCAGAATGCTTTTCTCGGTCCCTATTAAAATGATAGGATAGACAAATCCAACCAATAGAAGCTAACAAAGCCTAAAAACAAACTATCTACCTAAAAAGAAATCAGTTTCCTCAACGGAAAGTTCCTAGAAAAATAATCATATTAATTTTTGAAGATAGTTGAGCAACTCTTAGGTGCCTCCTAAAATACCAAGGCGAAAGAATATCAGAACCTGCATTGAAGGAAATCACCGGAATTTTTTCTGCTTACTCTTCGAAGTGACTGATTAAGTACGACTTAAAAATAAAAAAAAAAACATCTGCTATGCACCAAAATGTATGTCAACTACAAGTAAAAAACCGACCTGCATAACTGGTGGGGGAATTGAATGCTGAAGAGCACTTCCAATAGACGCACATTGTGCATCGAATTCTTCTCGCGCGACATGCTTTATTTTGGCAAGGTATTTAAGAATATTATAAGAATACTGCTGGCCTTGATCAGGCTCCAACAGGGGGTGAGTAACACCCAGTCGTGCAAATGCTTTTTTTAGCGGCTGAAATATCAAAGGTTTGAAAAGCGAAGGCAACTGCAATTAAATCTGAAAATCCTTTCAAGGTTCTCATTTCCACCTGCATATAGTAATTTGGGACAGATCGGAGATACTTTTCCAGCCTCATTCTCCACGACTGATCAGTTCGCGCTTTGGGATCTTGTTTGAGTTCATCAACCAAAGGCAGCAAAACTGGATAATTATAAGGCATTATAAAAAAATTTACTGAAAGTAAATTTGTTGATGCCTTCAAATAACCAAAGGGTGCCGAAACTGGCCCATGAGCGTTTGAATTTGACACAAAAACCTGGAAATTGATTGAATGCCTATCAGAAAATCTAGCCTACATTAAGTAAACAGCCCATGACCTCAAATTCCCAACAGTCAAGTTGAACTCAATCGTGGCGTGTCTAAACAACAACTGAGGGAGAAGTGTCTCTGAATTCATCAACAGTTTTACTAATATTATTGACTATACCTGCCAACAGACGTTAGACTGCTTTCGCTCTAAGATGAACTGTGTCAAGGGAGAAGGCTCCAACTCGTACTTATCGAACGGGAAATCTTGACAAACTAGAGGTTCACTCGACTCGCAGCGGAAAGAGACCACAGGATGTGCTTTTCTAGGTGGGAGCGTTCCCCTGAACAGTAAATATTATCAATCAGCAATTATTAGCACGTAGTGCAGCCGACGAAAAAACTGATTTTACTAACGAAGGAACTTACATTTCTCTACTAGGCCAAAACGCTTCAGGTATGGGCCAATGACCTGGATATGCTCGAGTTGCTCGCGAATAAATAGTAGTCAGCAAATTACGCCATCCATCATCAACGGGAAACTGTTTGCCGTTCTCACCTTCAGCAGCTTTCCCGTTACTGCCTTCCAAAACACCATTCACTTTATCTACAGATACAAAGTATAAGGTATGAATCAACAATTAAAACACGAACCATCATGAACTTCTATTAAAACACAAATTTCGAATTAAAAGAAGCTTGGTCCGATGAAAAACCATAAAAAAATATTAAAATAGTACCGTTCACAACCGGTAAAGGGTCTGGCCCAACTTTTTCAAAGCGTACTAGCACCCCTGACTGCTGGATCTTTTGCACTATAGACTCTATACAAAGAGGTAAAAGTTTGTGCGAAGTAACACTGTAGGAACGCCCTGAAATACATAAAAACCTTAAAAGCAAGAACAACCAAACAAAATACACTCAAATTTGGAAAAAAATTAACTACCCATCAGAATTAAAACTGAATGGACTTCTTGTTACCACTCAGATCTAAACGGTTCGGTAACCCAGTTTAAAAGTTCCATACTCCATCCCTCCCTCCTGTACTCTATTAGACTTAGATTGACATGTAGAAAACAAAAAAACAAACCTCCAGTCGCCAAGCACATGGCATTAATTGGACTAGCGTCTACAGGCAACGGCATTCCCGGAGTGACTTTTAGTCTAGGAACTCCTCCTGATAACCGCAAAACAAGAGTGAATAACCGATGATCCCATCGGAATGGTTCTTCTGTCAATTCATTACCCATAGCTGTCGGTTTCGACAATTTTATCTGAACAGCTAATAATGACAATTAGAAATAACGTGATTTTTTAAGTTTTCGCAAGGTGCCAACAAAGGCATGTAGTAGATTAACAAAAACATTACCTCGCCAACAACGCCAGATACAGGACATGTGAGAGAATTACCATCAGTGATACTTACAACAACCACAGGTTCCATGTAGAAGGGATATCTTCCACAACCATAATTATCGATACCAGTTTGTAACCGGTTAACATTAACGAATCTGTCAAAAAGAAAAAAAAAAATGAATTCCATTCGATTTCACTGCAACTTACTCAAATACCAGTAATAAAGAACCCAGCAGTTTCCAAAAATTAGCTCGGAATAAAATTAAAGCAGGGTTAAGGAGGCATGCTTCTCAACCTATCATAACTCTTTAACTAATAATCTTAGAGCTCGCTCTGACCATATCACCATAAAATTACACAGTCCATACCGGAAAGCAGATCCAAGCGCTGCTCCAAATGTTGTTAATCCCTTGGGCTTTAAAAGTTTTAACTGTTCTTGAAATATGACCTGCCCTTCGCGCCATCCAGCCTGAAATTTTGTTGTTACTGCGCTTAAAGACTACTTTACAGAAAGCAAATTACCTAAAGCACATATCCAGCGAAGAGATAACGCCAAAATATCGATGTCAGCAACTAGAAGAACAGTTAAACAGCTTATTTGAAAGTTTCTTCACAGTAAATAACACCCAAGTACTCTATATTTTAAATAGATTGAAACGGTTACCAAGCCACAACTGCCGCCTTATTAGATGTCGAGAAATAAAAATAACGAAGAATAAGCAACTGAAAAAACAACTTAAAAATCCAAATTTTTTTTTGTTTTCTTTTTTTTCCGACGTATCCCCTTGCAAGGATATAAACTTAAATGCGCTTCTACGGACAAGACTTTTCGTTATGTTTAAACGGTGAAGACCTAGTATCGTTCCCAAACGCCTATCTAAATCATTCCCCAACCACTGAATTTTTACAAATCTGTTTAGCGGCAAGATAAACTTGAAACAAAGACACCTTGAAACAACCAGTGTTCTATTCATAACTGCAGTTCAAACTACTTCCCTACACAGCTTCAGAATCTCTTCCGTAACAAAAAAAGGAGTTATTACTATGCATGACATTTTACCTATAATTCAGAGCATACTCAATAATTTTTTCAGCCGACTATTCAATTTGGAAAAATTTTTCAAGGGTTTAACAAATTTCTTAACCTAACTCAGTTATTGGGAAAACAGTCAATATTTTGACGCCGCATAAAACAACTGTTTTGACTCTCTTTCGAGAATTGAAATCAGGCTAAAACTCCATCTTTTAGGCACATATAGGACAGGCTGCATCAGTACTTGGAGATCACAATCACGCCTCCACTATACAAGCTTACAATAAATTTTCCTTGAACTTTTTTTTTTTTCTTGTAACCACTCAGTACCAAACTGCACCCTCCGTAACGAGCAAGAATGAGACCTCAAGTCTCAAAATTACAAAAAGTAAGTTTTTCCGCCGGAAACACCTACATATAAATTTATCACTAAATGTATGAAAAGTTACACTGAATTCCACTGTCCAGACAAAATCCACCTAATAAAAATTCCACATTCTCCTTAACTAAAACAGTATGAAATTTCCACCCAAAAACTCATCATCGACAACAGCTATAACAAAATGGTACTGCGAAATACCCAATTTTTTACATGCGTATTCACCACCATTTCGTTGCGTTATGATCTGTACAAAAACAAAAAAAAAATTAATTAAAGAAAGTGATATAAGTAAATCTAACAAAAAATAAAAAGGACCCAGGTGATAACTGTCAATGGGAAATGATAACTTTTCACTGTAAGGTGCCGATGACTTTTTCTTTCTCTACATAATCAACAACTAAATTTTCATAATCATTAACTATGCACTCCTTTTGCAGTATGAAGCCCCCATTTTAAGCCACCAGGATCAATTACATCAACACTCTGTGAGTCCATCGTTTACACGCGTTTACACAGGTTTCAACAACAAAACTAGTACCAGCTACTACTAGTCAAGCCTTTATCCAGGTGACAAGTTGACCAGCTCAATCTCTGGTAGTAATCCAATAAGCCCCTTCATCCCTTAAAAATTTCAAAAACATGATTTAGAAAAATTCTGTACTCCGGGTCAGAAATGCACCGATAGAGTCAAAATTGAACAAAACCTCCTTCTTTATAACAAAATTTAGCTTTTCATTACGAAACGGCGGCCGTAAAAATGGAAATTTAAAATGACCACTAAAACTTTTTTTTTT